GTAAATAATTAGATGGACCACTGCCTTCGATACAAATGAGTATGAATTATGAAGGTACTATAGAGTTGCTAGTAACTATTGAAAGTGATCGTCGAATAAGAAAATTTACAAAACAAAGTCTATGAAAATGAATAAACATTTGACAAGATATTGAAGATACTTCTACATAGAATATAAAATGAAGAATAATTTGTATAAAAGTTTTCAATGTCTTATTTGTAAATATTCTTTCGTAAGGTTAAATATTTATATTTAGAGTAAATACTCATTCTCAAATTTCCTAGTAAAGTTCTTATAACTCTTGTTTATAGTTTACATAGTAAGAAAAAAAATTTCTTGAATATTTAAATTCGAAGAAAAATGAATGCAAAGTCACGAAACTGTCAAGATATTAAAGAACGATTTTTATTTTGCTCTACGAGTGAGTCTTTTCTTATTTACAATATTAATTACGAGTATCAAAAAAAATTTTGCATTCAATTCTTCTGAAATATTTATATGCAATTAAAAATTAAAACATTTAAATTTTTAGTCTTTTGTCATTCTTCAATCTTATGAACATATCTTCTTTTCACATTGAATATACAACAATAATAGAGAAAAAAGGGTGCAATTTTATTTTTAAGTTTGCTGTTTTTTCACTTCAATCATAGGTCACTCGCTTGTACTTAATTGTGAATCAGATGGTGTACATTCTTTTTTATTTTCTTTAAAATAGATAGATGAAAGATTAATATCTTCATCAGTAATTGCGATAGTTCCATTATTTGCTGTTGAAGAAGGTATTAAAATTTATGTAGTTGTTCTAGGTGGTATTCATAGTCAAAAACAATCATGATAATCAGAAAATAATTGTATCAAAATGAATATGTCGAGTATGTGTTGAGACTTTATGTTTTGATGAATTATGCTTTGTTAATTCATCTATAAATATATATTAATGATAGATTTTAATTAAAAAATTTAAAAGAAACAAATCAGATGAATTATTCATTTTCAAATAATAATCAGATGACGGATAACAAGCAAGTCTATCTAAGATTATTTTCTTTTACATGAATAAAAAAGAATACAAATTTGAATTTCGATGATCAAGAATCAAGGTATAAGTTTTTATTTACAATCAGATTCAATAGTACTCCGTTAGTAAGTCTTCAGATGAAATAAATTTCTCGATGCCATGCCATACAAACTGTAATATAAAGAATCGTCAGTATAATTTTAAATTGAAACAACTTTTTAACATAATAATTAACCAACTAGTTCTTTCAAAAAAGTCTGTTATTGAAGTTCTACAAATATATACACCTTGAAAGTCATATAGCTCTTGAAATTTCTAATAGTAACAAGTTGTATTTTAGTCTGTCATGTTCTATGTATGTTAATACTAAGAAAGATGGAAGAACTCTTTTAAAAATTTGTCATATAGTAACTCTCAAGGATTGACAAATTTGACCTAAGGTTTTATTTGAAATTATTTCTTAACATAATTGAAAGACTTCTTGATTTGTGAAAGGATACTACTCTTCATAATATCATAAAATGATCTATAAATTTCGGTTTTATACTAGGCTTTATATTTTTAGATTTCCTAATATCTAGATAGTTTCACAGTTGTATCATGCTAACGGTTCGCATAACTATCTCAGTGGAACAGATTCTTTTCTAATATTTTTGCATTGAAAAGTCAGGAGTTTTTAATAGTCAGTTAAACGTAGTTCAGAAAGTGAGCTTGAAATTTTAAACCATCTAATGACCAGCTAATTTTTTGTGACCATAATCAATACATTCATCCTGATCTGTGATCACTATTGTGCTATGATAAAGAGTGAGTTCAAAACTTAGAGCTAAGATTTTGATGAAAAGTAAAATAGACTAGCTTCAGTACCCTTAAAATTGATAAAAAATCGGTGACAACCAATCGATTTTTAAAGTTCAACCGAAACATATGACACGACTTGAAAATGAAATGTTATTGTACTATGATACTAAATCTTGCTTAATCCTTTACCTCCAGTACTCATTCAATAGCTTTATTGTTGAGACAACCATTGGAATAGTTTCTACAAATGCTAATTATGACATCGGTGTAATTAAATTTAGGCCAAGTCATTTCAGTATGAAAATGCAGAATGGGTCTACAATGTCTCATTCGTTTTGAATGACACAAAAATTGAATTTATTGTTAAATTGACATTTTCGCAGTTATACTACTGTTTTATTTGTATAAAGTTGGAAACTTACTTATCATGAATTATTTTTTGAAAAATGAGTCATTTCAGAGGATGATATATGATGAGGTTCTCTATATAATATAGAATCATTGATTCTGATTCCAATTCAAAATCACTCATTCCTGTTGTTAAAGTCTCATCGAGAAGGAATGCCATAACAGAGGCTGCACGTTTTTATCCTTTATCGTTCTAATAAAGTGTTTACCATGAAGATCATATTATTTTATGAGTTTGTATTGAAGATAACATAACTCTGGAAAAATCGTTTTTTATGTTACTCATTATGAATGGATAAAAAACGACTTAAATTGTCATGAAAAACATCACTTTTATATCTATAATTAAGAAATTTTTAAAAACTATCCTGCAAATAGATTATGCTCATAGTATTAATTATGCACCAGCCCCATAATCATATATCTTAACCAAGGAATGATGAAAAGAAGTTTAATTTTTTTCGAATTTGTAGCTGATTTAAAACTTTGCACAATGTTCTGAAATCATTATATCGATCCAATGCTTTAATATTCCAAATAGATAATTTCATGAATGAGTCGAAAATGTCCCAACCAGTGAGTAAAGGATTAAAGTAGTTGACTAATCTTCTTCACAATTTAAAAACTTTAATATTTAGTTAATCACCATCACATATTCTCTAACACGAAGAAATGTTTCACAAGAACAATACCTATATCCTTTCTTTCGAATGTTCCATAACATATAAAATATGCCTTTAACAATCATTTTGTTTTTCATTTGATTACATGCATTCGTTTGGTTCTTCACATGAATATTTTTGAATAATATATATGAGACTGGATCTTGTCAGTGAACAAGTCTATATTCAATACCAGTTGCATTTAACTATGAGAAATAAAGAAAAATTTCAATAAAATGAATTCATTTGATTGTGCTATTGCTTCAATTGGAAGATTTTTCATATAAATTTGTTTATTTAAGCCCAATAGATTATAAAATGGATTTCCTGTTTGATAAAAATCACTCTAATTAAAAGATTAAGAAGACTTTCTAGAGATTTATTTCAAAACATAAGATTTTTATTTTGTTCAAAAACACTTTATTTATCCTTTGATAAATCCATCTAAGGAATCAATGAAGCATAAAGAAACCAAATAATAATCACATACATATGTTAAAATTCGTTTTTTTTTGTCCTCCTCACTCTCCAAGAAAAAACAAGACAAAAAAAGTACTATTCTACAAAGTCTGTTTTGTTCTTTATTTAATTATGATCAAAGATAAGAAAACTCGACAACGACATTTAGCTGAACCACATTTGCAATCCATTCGACGACCAGCTATTTTATCTACTGTATAATTATAATCCCAATTAAAAATGAATGAGCAAAACAATGGTAATACGTAAACAAAACTGGTGCAAAACTGATCGATGTTTTCAAATGAAAATTTGTAAGAATTATATATCTTCTTTTTTTTCAAAGCTCCATGAATAAGATTTAAATAATTTGTTCTAATTAATTTTTCATTTAATATACGCTTACTAGATATCGAAGAAAAATCATCTAGTCTCCAAAGGTATAATGTTTCTAAATTGGGCATAGAGTTACTAAGAAAAGGCATAAGATATATTTATTAGCCAACACAAATCGATTCCGATGCCTAGAATTAAGACGAAAAATAGCTAAATAAATCATTTTCAGTTATGAAATTTGACACGTCGAAAAGAAAATGACAAATTTCGAATGATGGATGTGGATACGTGTCTTCTATTTAGTCATATTCCCATCCACATCCGGAATCTGAAGTGTGTTTCTTAGAATTCATTGCCGATGTTGAACTGTACAAATGAATCAACGAAGACCGAACATATGTAGAAAAAGACAGTTACTGTCACATTACCATGGTAATGTCACGGTAACTGCGTTTCCCTAAAAAATAATGGTATCTTAAACTTTTCTGTAAGATATTTTTTCTTATGTAATTCAACAACCTCTATCCAAAAATAACGAAAAAAATCTCTTGAAATTTTAATTATTGTCTACGTTATATACATTGTGAATACCTTAAAAATTGAATATCGCAGTCTAGACACGCCAATAGTAGTCTATATTTTAAATTTATTAGTTTGCCAGTAAAAGCTTTAATTTGATCCGAATATCTCTGATCTTATTAACGAATAAAAATCATGAAGTTGATTCTCTTTAAGAATCAAGTCGACATTGAAAGAGTATACAATAAATCTTTTGTGTATAATAAGATTAAAAAGTGAATTAACTTCTTCTCTTATTTATCTCATATTGAGATATTCATTATTTCATCTAAGAAATGACGATATTGATTGTTTAATATAATGTACTTGGTGCTTAAGAGGTACCATACTTATCGAGGGTGTAGATGGGTGTGGTTATAGATAGAATACACACCCACGCTCATACCCTGCAAGCAAAGAACAAAACAAGATGGATTTTGAATTGTTACCTAATGAAATTTTACTTGATTTAATCGATTATTTTGATGGTATTGATCTTCTTCGTGCATTTTATAGTCTCAATTATCGATTCAATGATCTTCTCTACAATCAATTTCGATTGTATCGCTTTAACTTTTCTTCTATTTCTAAACGTGATTTTGATATGATATATCAACAACACTTATCATTTTATTACTCAACGAGTTATTTCTCTTAGTCTTACTGACAATTATGATATCCCTGAACAAGTTAACCTCTTTCTTTCTTATATCCCACCATTCAATCACTTCACTCACTTACAATTACTTTCGGTGGAAGGTTTTCGTTCGTGCTGAACATTAATGAAAATCTTGGAGGAATATGATCATTCATGTAATCTCACTTATTTAACAATTAATTCCTATAATTGTGGTGCCAATCAAGGGGAATATCAATCAATGATCAACAGCATTTGGAGTTTACCCAAACTCATTAAATGTAGTTTCAATACCTACGTCCTAGCACATACGGTTTTTCAAATACCAACAAACATCCCTTCATCACTTGAAAGTGCATCTATACCTAGTCATGGACCTGAATTAAATCAACTACATACATTGATTGAATGTACTCCTTGTCTTAATAGACTTCATGTATATCTTGACTTGTCTAGTTATGACAACTATATACCATTGACTCTTTCAACATTAATCGACTTGAAACTGGACAGTAGCCATGTGTCTGCCGTTTCATTAATGAAATTCCTTTAAAGCACACCCAATTTATTCCGTTTGAGTATCAGTTTATCCTTTAGCTCAATTAACGGATATGAATAGGAAAAAATCATTTGTAATTATTTGTCTAAACTTCAAGTACTTCGACTTCAGGTGAAACAGAGAACATTTGGTTTTAATGGTTTGTTCGATGTTTTATAGAATACCAAACTATTTATCTCTTCACTGTATCTAAAACATTAAATTACGACGAGCTTGATCTCCCTCATTCATTGAAATCGACTGATCCCCATTATAATCATCAAGAATTTTATAATAGCAACAATTCTATACAGAATTACAGATTGTTTGATCAACCAATTTCATCCTACATTTGTCTTCCTAATATCAAAGATCTTAGGATAAAACTTCCTCTTAATGATCAGTTCTGGTCTATTGT